AAAGAAAGAAAGAAAGAAAGAAAGAAAGAAAGAAAGAAAGAAAGAAAAAGAAAGAAAGATGAAATTCATTTCATTTATTATATAGAAATAACGGCATTATGGAGTTTTCCCAGGCCATCGAGTTTTTTCCTAGACCAAAATTTGATGGCAGTACCCCCCACCCTCCCTAAGATAACAGAGAAAATGAACAAAATGACCACCAAGCTTCTTCAGGTCTCTTCGATCACAGTATTATAATTCCCCTGAAGTCTTGATAACATGGAAGAGAGTCACATTGTAGATGACCTGGTGGCCATTGTTCCAGGTGTAGAGAACTCTCTCCCGGGGATTGTAGTCCAACATGGATATGTGGGAATATTGATTGTGGAAGGGAATATCTGTGTACTCATAGCTAGAAGTGTTTGTGTAGTAGGCAAAATAGATTTTTGCCCCAGCCAGGTGTGAATTTGTCACATAGAGGGTCCCGCAAATCATGAAGGATTCTCCTGCGCTCCGCTTGGGGTAGCCAGTGTCCCAGCTGCGTAGTATCTCCAGTGTCATGGGGTCCATCCTGCTCACCACAATGTTGCCAGCATTTTGGTTGGTGGTGTAAACTGCCCAGAGTCCATTCTCGTCCACCATGAAGTCGATGTCAGAGAAACCACCCCAGGAATATGGGAATGTGTTGTTGTAGCCAGCCGTGTTGAGGCTGCGTTGTACAACAATACTCCGTGAACGGAAATGGTACTTCACCACAATGTTGCTCTGATACTTGTTGTAGTAGAGGGATCCGTTGAAAACCACGTGGCCAGTGCCTGCCCAAGGGTGAGGCAGCAAGTGCTGGACAAAATTTTGCCCTGTGATGAAGTCATTCAGGGTACGATACTCAAGGACACGGCGGCCTTTGTAATAGCCATCCATATACCACACCTGAGGAAAAAACACAATGAATTTAATGAGGCAACACTTTTAATTTCCCAATGGCCTCAGCAGAGAGAGAAAAAGGCAGAGCAAGCCAAAGATACTTTCAGGCCCAAACTAAAAATCAAAATGGCAACTTTCCTATAGTAAAAGTGCCCTAAAGCATGGATTTTTCACCAAAACCCTTTTTTTTTTTGGTGGTGGTGGTGGTGGGTGGAGGTTTCACAGGAACTATAAGCAAATAACACTATCTGCCCTCGCAAAACATGCTCAGCTTGAATGTAGTTGGTTTCTTTGGGATTTGTATGTTGTGCAAAGACACCAGTAACATTATAATTCTATAGCTACTAACTTGGGCCTATTGAATTCAATGTGACTTGATTTTTGAATTGGCCTCAAAAATAGGATTACACCCTAAGACTGAAATTTTATCATCTTGGATTCAGGTCCAAAGGGCTACCTAGTTACCTCTGAAAATGCAGATGACTGTTAGAGATAACCACTTACTGCCATCATGTGGTTGTCCAAGGTTTTGCAGCTCAAAGGGTCATATATTGTCTCTGGGATGATCATCCCTGCTTTGAAATATAAAGAGGACTCTCCTTTTTGAGACATTCTGGTCTCTTAAGCTTTATAGCAGCTGCTTCAATACCATCCCACAGGATCATATATCCTAACCAGACCCAGCTTGGCCATTGGAATTTGGCAGCAGTTGACCAGTTGATAATGAGCTCAGTCAGTGTTCCTGACCGGAACACTGCTTTCAGAAGGCAGCCATTACTATACTGGAAATGTAGGTTTGAGGGGGACGATTGTATGAAAGAGATTCCTCTTGTGTAAAAATCTACATTAATATAGGGTTTCTCAACATTGGAAAATTATTTTGAGCATTGATTATTTTTGTTATTTTGACCCCTTATTTATTAGGGTAGGAATGTAAGCTGCTCAGAGTCCATTAAAGATTAGAGCAGGATGTAAGCCTACGGTAGCAAAATGAATGAATATTTATGGTTGATACAACGTATATCTAAAAAAAAATGTTTTCTTTGCTATAAAGCTATTCAAGATTATTTATCAAATATTAATTAGGCTTTAACCCCGAAGAGGTTATTTTTTAAAATATGGTTTCTTTGGGAATCAAGAATATTCGCCTATTGCATTCCTACACACGCCCCCCCCATGTGTTCACATGCATGCACACGAATGTGCACGCACACACACACACACTTCTTTTCCTTACATATTAAGAGATCAACTCTTTTTTTCTAAGAGAAAGACATGATGCAAATCATTTCATACTATTTACTGTTAAGTGGTTGAAATCAAGGCAGTGGACATTTCCTCAAAGGAGGAAAAGACTTCAGTTGAACTATGGATAGAAATAATATAGAACAGGGCTGTCAAACTCCCAGCCTCTGGGCTGGGTGTGTCACACACTGGCCACACCCACCCCATTTTAGCAAACGGGGGGGGGGGAGTTGCCATACATCACATGATGCTGTGATGCCATGAGTTTGACACCCCTGTCATAGAGGAACGTTTCTCAGTACCATGATGGAATGAGTAATCATTGGTATGAGCTTTGCTTATGATGGCACATTCTCTCCCTCTGAAATTTCGAATTCTCTTAAGGCTGAGATTTGAACTCCAAGGCAAAAAAGTGCCTTGACAGCTCCTTCAAGGAGATGCACCTTTACTTGGGCGTGTTCTGTTGTGTGACCCCAGGAAAAGATGCATTCGACTTAAGGAATTACATCCTTACATGCCCTCTCATGTGTGCTCTGAATCACCTTTTCTCTTCCTAACCTGGGTTTCTGCACAAAGGGATCCTGTGGGTCTGATGCCAAAAACCATCCTGATTCATTCCACCTGAAAACAAAAACTCTTTGACACCAAAACACCGTGCCCTGTGCCCATATTACCCCCCTATGGCAAGAAATCAAGTTTTCCAGCAGCACAGTCGATCCAAGCCCTGGTCTCACGGAAATGCTGTGAAACCAGTTTAGTAGTATGCCCTCTAGAACTGTGGGGCAGGGGTCTTCTCAGGGCCAGGAGTTTGAAACCAAAAGAAAAGCAGCAAAGAATCCACAGTTTCTACTGGCCAAGCTTAGCTGGAGTAGCAACGAAGACACTCAAGCATTGTGAAACTGCTTGCAGAGGGCAAGAAAGGTGAGGGAAGCCTGTGGCTGTGCTGAAGTGTTCAAACTTACAAAGCACATTGTTTTTAGCATCCATTCTATAATAGCTGCATTGTACATTTTAAATCTTGACTCTTCTTATTGCCTTAAGGGTTCCTTGAGAGTGAGCAGCTGTGCAAGAAGTATCCTTCAGCAGCACTAAAATCACAATCATTGTGGTGATGCCCATCATCCTCACTACCATCATCATTATTGCCAGGATGAAAAGACCAATTTTTTAAATACCCACCTTCCATAGAGTCAGAATGTCTTCTCCGACATCTCTAACATGGTGCCCTGCAGTTGCTTTGAGCTACAACACCCTTTATTAGCCTGATGAACAGCAGGGTTGATGGCTGAAGAGGTTTAAAACAATTGTTAAGGTTGCCAAGGTACTTTCGTGGTTTGCCAATATTGTCTGTGGTGCAAGCACAATCTAGAGCAGGGGTTTCCAACCTTGGCCACTTTAAGACTTGTGGACTTCAACTCCCAGAATTCTGGGAGTTGAAGTCCACAAGTCTTAAAGTGGCCAAGGTTGGAGATCCCTGATCTAGAAGACGAGGAGGAGTGAATCTGACACTTTCTGTCCTCTCCCCACCCACCCCAATACTGCAGAATTTATCTTTATTGATTATGCTGCTTGGTATAAGAATGCAGCATTTCCTGGCGTTAGCAACAGGAAGCATTTTTTTTTTCAAAGAAATATTCCTGCTGCTGCTGAGTTTTCCAGTTACTCAGTTCCAGAATGCATTGCATTCTTACCATCCGGTCTCCTCCAAATTCTGGGGTTCATCTCATCTCATTGTTTTTCTTTATGTCTCTTATATCTTACATTCCTAATCAACTGAAGGGATTCTGTCCTGTGGTGGGATTCAAATATTTTTACCACCGGTTCGGTGGGTGTGGCTTGGTGGGCGTGCTTTGCGCGCATGCACACACTTTGCCTGCATGCGTGCGTCAAAACGCGCACTTTGCGCAGGCGCAGAGGCGTCCTAACTCATCTCCTGCAAGCCTGCACAATCCCGGTTGCTTCAGCAGCTGCCACGCGGCACTCTGCTGTGCTGTGTAAAGCAGCTGCGCTTTAAATTCAGAGGATAAAGGTAAGTATGGGAGCCCAGGCGGGCAGGTGGGCCCAAACATCAGAGCGGCGGAGAGAGAGAACCAGTTTGGTCTCCGCTGCTCATCACTGCTACCGGCTCGGCAGAACCGGGCCGAACTGGTAGAATGCCACCACTGATTTTGTCACTAATTTTCTGATGCCAGGGGATTCTTTTGGAATTATTGAGCAAACAGGCCATGTGCTTTGGATTATAATAATAAGAACAACAACAAAATCAATTATAGAAAGAAAAATGTATTTCCAGCCCATGTGGCTGTCTGTTATGAGGGAAAGGCATTCACAGGGAGCTACCAGTATTTTGTGAGGATGAGTAAAACAAGGCGATAATTTTTGTTTTATAGAGTGTCTATACAAAAAGGAATGGATTTTAGCATGAGTAAGAAGTGATTATTTAGCCAGCATTCAGCATCTGGGTCCAGGTATGAAAATCTTGTTTGGGAAGATGAGCTTATTTAATCACCTGCAAATTAGAAATAAATCCTGCCTGCATCCATGCAGCTATGGGCCACACTGAAGAGCTGCAGATTTCCTGCTGCTGTTTGAGTCCTTGACAGCACTCTCATACAGCCATCGATCTTTCCTGCTTGTTCTGTGTTTGGAAGTTTGTGTTCAAAATATGATCCATGAACTCATATTGCTCACGGTGCTACTTTCCCTTTACTATCTATCTGGTTGCAGTCAAGCAAGAGAAAAAACAACAAGAAATGCATTTGGCACAGCCCATAATGAGATTGAATGAATGGCAACTTCTCCATCCCTTCTAGAGTTTGCCATAGCTGGCCCTGGCACAAGGTCCAGGGAACCGAGATCCTCCTACTATATTAGGAAAGCTCGGGATGGATAAAGCTACATGGCAACATCTCACTTAAAGAGTAATGGCAGGACAGTGATTGGCAGGTGGGGGGGGGGTCATCTTGACAAATGGGAATCTTCAAGAACCTCTCAAGGAAATGAACCAGCTATTCATAAATCATTGACTGTAATTTAATGATGGCAAGCATGAGGTCTGAAAGGATTATAGCACTTACCCTTATGTATTTGCTGACTGGGAAATATAGGCATAAGATGATTTTGGTGCAGAGGATGCTGCCAGAAGCAAAGGGAAAATAAATGGCGGCTGGGAGGAAAAGGCCTTCAGCAGTTGTGTGGAAGAGACAATTTGGTGGCATGTAGCCAATTGCCCAGGAGTTAAAATAAAACAAACAAAACAACAAACAAACGAATGGTACTCTCAGATTCAGGTGCATAGGATCTAATGATGCAATTATTTGAAATGAGCACAAAAAGAACAACACACCCACAGACAACACATAAAGACTTAAAAGTTCAGCAAAGACAGATCTAATTGTCTAGGATGCTAGAAGATGGGGATAAAAAGAGTGCTGAAATGGATAAATTAACACTGAGTTTAAAAGATAAAGAAGCTTCAATATTTTATAAGGTATGGGAACAATGGTATAGCTGGATAGATCGGAGATAGATTAAAGATAGGTAATTATTAAATATAAGTAATAGAATAAGAATGTAATACACATAAATTAATACCTGTAAATAATGCATGAGTTATTGTCATATGATAAGCACTACAAATAGCTGTTATTGAGTGATATATTTCTTATGTTTTTTATGTAATAAAAGTTCAATAAAGTCTATTTCAAAAAAAGAAGATGGGGATAAAAAGCAGTAGAAATGCAGAGGCATCGAAAGTAGAA